CCGAAAGTCACTGAAAATCTTTTTGTGACGTCACCAAAAGATAAATTTGTACTGCGAGGATAGGGAATGTGGAGGTTATTTGCCAATTGACACAATACAGTGATGGTAATAGCTAATCCGCTTTACATTTTTGTTCCTGGATATGTATTTCATTGTAAATGATTAAAATTTGGCTATATATTTCTCAAATTATTTTTTAAAGTCCATTTTTAATGTTGTTTTTACGACTGTCTTTTACGAATTTGGCAGCCATATGCCTCGGAGGATAGGCACACGGATGTAATTACACGCATGCGTGAAATTTGGTGAAATCCACAATACACAAGTTTTTAGCTGTAGCCATTTTGTTCTCGCGGATTTTATAGTGTTCATCACAATTCCAATTATTATAAATATTAATTGACCGATCTTATGGCAAATGACAATCAGTCATCATCATCCGATGAAGAAAAAGCTGCGGAGCCTCGTAGGCTTATTGTAAATTTTGGCCAAATTATGGCATTTAAAATTATGGTATTTATTGGCGACGATGAACCAAGCAAGGCCCGTCGATGTTGCTGATGATGATGAACTTGGTGAACTTATTCGCCTAGGTTTACCGGGAAATATAAACGTGCGGCAAGACAGGAATGGTAATTTTATTCCTATTACATGTTTTTTGAACATCATATACTGGTTGTTTGACATCCCGTAGCAGATTTATTATATATTATATCAAAGCAAAGCTTAGGCCTAACTAGAGGGTAGAGCGCAGTACGTACCGGCCTAGGCCTAAAAGATTTTTTCGGAAAATTTGCGTGGAAATTGGCCCTTATTTTTCCAATTGCGCGGACGGTTTTTATGGCATTTTTTTGTTTGGGTGGAGGCTTCTAACTAGGCCTAGCCAATTCATAATCTGGGGTCTACCTTCCTAGGCTAGGCCTGTTATAGCCTAGGCCTAGTCTAGCGAGGTCTATATGCCTAGGATAGCCTTCTTTGCCTATCTAGGCTAGGCCATCTTTGGCTAGGCCTATACTGTAGGGAGGGTTAGGGTGGTACTAAATATTAATAGACTAAGGCCTATTGCCATGTTTGGCCTATTTCAGCCTAGTTAGTTGGTGGGTGTATACCCAGGTGAATTCCATTTTAACCAAATAAAAAAAAAAATCCTTTTAAATCTGACATCAGCGTGCCCTATTTAAAGTTGTATGGATGGAAAACCAAACAGAATATTTTAACATTGCATGCATAATTTAAAGCGTATCTTTGATATTTTTTTTCTGAAAGTATTTGTAGGAAATAGAACCTGTCTGAGTTATGATAATGGGCCTAGTCCTATTATGTTCTATAAAATCATTAGTTTAATAAAAAAAAATGCATTTCTGTTATTTTCAGGTGTACTTGTGGAAACTGCGTCGTGGAAGAGATGTGGGGAAATCGTTCCTGTTGTCAAGAAGTAAGAACCATTCGATTAAAATACAAATTAAGGCCATGTAAAATAAAAGAATTGGTTAGCATCCCCTCCCAACCATCAGAGAGGCCACTAACTTGAATAATTTTTTTTTTTTACAAAACTTCATTAAATATATAGGTCTATTTACCACCCATCCGCATGTTAGCCAGATCACTTGCAGTTCTATGCTCTACTGTTGTTCTATACTATTGTAGCCACATGGCATCCATGATGCCTGTTGTGTTGGAGTAAATTGTGCATTATTATTTAGAGAAATTGCATTATGACTGTTATTCATAGGCAAAGTTTCTGCTTGGTTTAGATGAATTACATAATTTCTTGTATGCAATTTTGGTCTCATGGTTTTCCTTGTGACACTATTTTTTCATGTTTGATGTGAAAAAAAAAATCTTCCTCCCTACCATGAAAATAAGCTTTGAAGCAGAATTCTTGTCCTCATGTTATCTAAAACTTCATAACGGAGGGTCGTACCACCTTATTTTTTTCTGGAAAATGTTCTCAAAATACTATTCTACACCACTATATGATTGAAAAAAAAAATTGAAAAATGTTTTTGACCTCTGAAATCAAGATGGAAAATAAAAACCCTATCTAAGTAGTGTATTAAAATAGTTTTCATGAATTCATGTTCCATCTTTTTTTAACAGATTGAAAAGGTTATGCAAAAAAACAATGAAGAACCATACCACAATGGGTGCATTACCACACATCCTTGGTTTGAACCAGCCATCTAAAATCCTGTAACACTACAAATTGCATATTGGCAGTATGTTTCACAATACCAGGAGTCGAAAGGTAAAGAATACATAGATGAATTATTTTTGTACTTCTCTACTCAAACATATAAGTATTTCTGCAGGTATTATTCTCCCGAAGACGACTGAAGCAACTCAATCAAAACGTTGAGAGTTTCTTAACTACAACAGTTCTTTGCAAAACTGCCTATGTGGTGTACCGCAAACATCAACATATATTTTTGTTCTATTAGGCATAAATTAGTTAATATTTTGGGTGGTACCTTACTTTTTCTTTGTGTGTGCACTTACTGTACATGGCAAGTCTTGCAAAATACCCCACTGCTTACAAGTGGAATTGACCAATAAAATATTTTATTAAATCTGATTACTATTTATGAGGTGTAGTTATGCTTTAATTCCTGTTTTCTCTTCCCCTCACACACAAAAAAAAATCTATTAATATTGTTTCACAATTTTTTTTCTCCAGGCGTTACAGGTATACAGCTTATCAGCAATTTGTACGTTGGTGCTGGGGTTATCTTGGCAAAGACAGGCGAGTGCTGATGTCGTGTAATGAAGTCCATACATGAGGCATTTCCTGAACCCAGTGCCAACTACACAGAGTTTAAATATCCTTCCCAGACAGGGGAATTTTAGCTTCTCCTTTGACCAGAGGTTCCTCATGCTGTAGCTATGTTAATGTATTGCCAGTATGAATTACTATGTCTGTGTTAAATTAATTTTATCTATTAAAATTGTATATTTTAACAATAATTTATTTTTGGTTAATTACAATGCAATTCAACTATATAATATAGAATGCCCTGAAATTGAGGTGTTTTTTGTTCATAAATAGGCCTATACAATCTGCGTATCATTCACTATGGTTATAAAATAGACTATGTAAAGCATAATTCCAATAGCTTATGAATTACAGAGCAAACAATACAGTGTAAGATGTAAAAGTGTATGATTCAATTTTCCTGACAATACTAGGCACCTATTTATTAACAAAATTAAGGCATTACACTATACCAGGATTTGTGTGCTTCGTAATAGCATATTTATTTTAGTAATACAGTATGTCCAACAACCTTAAAAACAATATGCATGTTTTTTTTTTTTTTAATGTAAGTAGTATTACTACTGTACTATAAATTGTATAATTGCAATTCAATTAAAATCATTTACAATTTGATTAATGAAATACTTGTTTGATTACTATTGCAGTATTCATGCTACAAGAGACTCTCATGATATTATTTAACACTGACGAACTCTTATTATTTTTTCACAAAATGGGACAACCTTTGCTAAGTACTGAAACAAAGTGAAGACACTTCCCACTAATTTACAGTTAGATTATGATTGCAGTATTCATGCTAAAGCATGCTTTATTATCATTAAATGTAAAGATTAGTACATGTCATAATAAATATAATTGTTATCCAATTTAACTTGTTTAAAAATGATTAATGGTAATTGCTTGTTTATTGCACTAACAGTATTATCATTTCAAAAAACCCTTATATATGAATTATCTTAGTAAATAACATAATTGGTTATATAAAATTATTTTCCATGATTTTTTTTCTACACAAATTCAACACATCAGAATTCAATTTAGTCACCAGAAACTATCTTTTGTTCTCTTTCCAAAAAAGATATAGAAACATTTAATAAGTGGGTAGAATTTGTTAATACAACGTGGAAGATGTAGTTTGGAAACATATCACAAGACATGTAGTAGGTATTTTACTATGCAAAATAACAAGAACTACCTCATAAGAAATGTTTAAAGTACAATCAGGTACAAACCAAAATCTTTTCCAAATATTGAAGCCCAGGTTGAGGATAAAGGCCTGTTTATACTTCAACGATAATGATCTTATAACGTTTATAGCACAGTAATATACTGCTGTACAATAACAATTTTCTGTAAATGGAAATAGAGTAATGCTGGAATCAGCAAAAAATAATAACAGTGAGCCTGGGCATAATTTGAATGGCTCTTATAAAAAAAAGTGTAACATGGTCATGTTACTGTATGGCTATACAGTACAGTATTTAATTTCTGTTGAATCGGCTGAGTAAACTGGACACAAACTGATTTTTGTCTGGTTTCGGTAATTTCCCAGCAATTGTTCCTGGATCGCACATTATTTCAGCAGTGTAAAAACTCTTTCATATTACTTTTTGCCATGTACAGAGCCATTTCAATTATGTTCGCAGCGTATTCTGCAAAGATAGACAACATTCACATATTATAACACATGAAATGCCTGACCCAAATGATGATATATACTGTATTAACTTAAATGGTGGAAATTAAGCTTATAAATGCATTGAAATACTTCAACAAGTATAAAATATAAATGGGTAAAGCACAAATTATTTTTTTGAAAAGTTATCTTACCGAATGTAGACTTGACAAGATTTTTTTTCAGCTACCCAGTCTTTTTTGGCAAGAGAGAACCACAAAGAGTTCTCAAGATCTCCTCCCTGGTTTGCAAAGCTGCTATGTAGGTTCTGAGATAAAATTAAAAAATCGAAGTACAGTAACTTGTAAGAGCTGTTCAATAACTTCACAAGTGTAGTTTGTATTTCAACATATTTTTTCTGGTGTCTATGGTTGGAGAACTCTGTATCTATTTGCATGTCCGTTTACGTAGTTACATCTTGCAAATGACTAACAAGCCCATCACTGCAAGGTTTCAGATGTTGGTGTTCAGGAAAATCCAAGAAAATGACTATTTCAAAAAAGCATTTACAATGTTATACAGTACGAAAATACTGTATAACAATTATTCTACACTAGTTAGTCATTTAGCAAGGCGTTATCATTGCCTCCACCCAGGAGTAAAAGAGCGTGCTTGGTAGGTTCCAAAGCAAATACTAGCTGAAACATGTGATTAGCATTTACGGCGAATGCATAAGATTTAGGCCTAGTAGTAGTGTAGATAGTATTAGTAGACCCCAGAACTGCTGCTGCTAGGCCTAAGAAATAGTATAGGCCTAGATTAGTAAGGTACGATTTTGTGCATCATCTTCATAGCAATCTTTGGCGCAAAATTGCTAGGCCTACGTAGGGTAGGGCCGCCGAGGGCTAGCCACCACCCCCACCGAAACTAGACTAGGCTAGGCCATGCCTAGCTAATATGCTACCTAGGCATAGCCTAGCTACTTTACTTACCTGTACTTACACTTTCAACCTCCCGTTTTCGTCGGTATATAGATTTCGTTGTTTTTCTTTTTTGTTCTGAGATGGCATTTCCTCAACATCTTCTTCCTCGCTGTCCTTTATTCTACCCACTTATTAAAAGTTTTTATATTTTTATCTTTCTTGGGAAAGAGGAAAAACGATACTTTTGGGTGACTTATTTGCGTTCTATAAGCCCAATACACAACAACCGTTCGGCATCTTGTTTGTTTACTTGTCGTCGGCGATTATCGTGTCAAAGTGCAATTTGATTGACCAATCACAAATCACTTACAGTCGGGAATATAACGCGGTTGTTTCAAATTATCTGAACGATCGCAGTGGGTTTAGAATGCGTATGAAAACAAAGATGGCGTATCGACATATCGGCCATTTTTCGGAGAAATTACTTTACAAATGTTTTTATTAATTTCTCAAATTCAACAAAATTGTTGAAGGTTAGTATTTTGTGACTGGTTTATTGACTACCCAAGGATTCCAAAACCTTCATTCATTGGATTTTAGAAAATGGTTTCATATCCATTTTAATGGTAGCCTTATGCGTGCAAGTTTTTTTTTTTCTTCGCTTTCAAATTTGTTAATTATATTTTGTTTGTTAATTGTCATTTTGTTGTTTGTTTGGTTCTCTTTCACGGATTTGTAGAAGAACAACTTTTGTTGAAACAAGTTTTCCAGTTGTAAAATAAAGCTAATCATTAATATAGATTACGATCTTTTTATTTGGAGAAATGATAAAATAGAATGCATCCCTGTCCCTTGCTCACACTGTTCAAGCGCGAAATACAACAATTACGATTTTTTAAAACACAAAGGCTATTCATTATAGTCACATACAGCCCCTTCCTACCTACTCTGTTTATTGCTAGATCCACACATGTACAATATTACACATTATAATTTATATTAACTAACAATATAAAGTACAGCCCTGGCACAGGTCTAGTTCAAAATTTTGATGTATTGTAAACATTTTATTAATTTTTTCGACGCTGATAATACAACAAAAAATGTTTGCATTAATATTTTTAAAAATGTATCTCTTTAATTAATTAAATTTAAACTTTCTCATCTGTTTTTGTAAGTATTGTGCAATTAAGGCTGTGACTTTGATTAATTTGAATAAGATAGCATTGGTTTCTCAACAGCCATAGAATGATAGAATACATAATAGACTGGCTCAACTTGTATTTTTAGTAGGTCAATAGCTCATGGGCTATTTCTGGGAGCAGGAATCTAGATGTATTGAAATAGGGGATCAGTGGAGGAGGGGGTGTAAACCTCTTTTAAAATAATATACATGAAATGAAATATAAAATTAATTCAAATAATTTGTAAAACAAACCTTTTTTCGTTTGAGAGTTGCAGAACTGCCAATAGCTCCTACAAATTCAACTTCGCCATAAGCGGTAGTCTGCGTAATTTTTGTGTCCGACCAATTCCATTTTGTAGTTCTGATCTCATCTCGGATGTAACTTTCATCGTGGGATGATTTTCTATTTCCACAATAACACAATGGATCCTTTGGGCTAGATAAAATTTAGGTAAAAATATATTTTGGAAGTATTTTATTTAAGATCTTCAAAAAATTTCATCTGGTTTCAGTATATTTACAAGTTGATTTCTTTTTTTGTAAAAACCATTGGAATAAAAACGGAGTACTTACTCGGACGTGCATACACTGGGGCGGGGAGGTGGGGGTACCGAAAAATAGTACTGTTTAAGCCAGGCAATCACTCAATCACTACGCCCGACGGTCAATGAGATTCTATGCAGAACACAATGCGGATCCATTCAGACTGCCAACCTTCAGTCAACAGGCGGCGTCACGTCGTCTAGCACTTACCGAGAGCATAGCTAGATTTGCAGGACTGACTTTTTCCGGAAGGTTAAATCCATGAAATTATGTCACTTCCCATTTAAACCTACTTCTTGCTGAACTTGTCTTAGCGTTGTACAGTGTAGATTTTGTTTACTGTAAACAGTTGTAAAGTAATTTAACCCTCTAGATACCGTCTTCGACTGCAGTCGAAATTGACCTCAAACCGAGAATTCCCATTTTCGACTGCAATCAAAATTTCGTGACTAAAAAATAGGTGGTTTTCAAATCGCTCTTCTGTTTTTATTTTAGCTCCAATACGTCCGAAATTTTGAACACGCATGCGTGAAGCTTTTGTCTTTCGAAATCTGTGAAGAACTCACATGCGCTTATATAAAAATGTTTAGAAATGTCAATTTGAAATCGTTATTAATTTCAAAAATTTTTCGAAATGGCCGCACAAGATGTGTACACAGCTGAGCAAGCGATTGATCTGATTTTTGATTCAGATAGCAATGAAGGTGAATTTTTAGATGTGCGAGACTTAGACGTGCCTGTTAGCGATGATGACTGTGTGGCTTCAAGCAGTTCTGACGGCAGCGATGTTCTTGATGAAGATGAGCCTAGGCCTAGAAATGTGAGGGTAGTCGACGCTTTTGAATGGAAAGATCGTGCTTATAGTTATGGATGGTTGGGAAAATAATTTATATAACTGTGTGGAATAGGAATGTTTCATATTTGTTTTTATTTTTTTTTGGCTATAATTAATTTTTTTTTCTGTTTTTGCTGACGATTTATATGTAGCATTTTTCTGTCATATCTATTATATTATATATATATTATATTATATTATGAAAAAAAATTCCCAAAAATATAAATTATACATCAAATGAAAGCTTATTCTATAAGCTTTCTTTGTTTTTTGAAACATTTTTCTGTATAATTTACAGAAAGTTCCCAAAAATCCACCTGAACGACATATACTCAAAAAACGCCAAAACCTTGTTACACTGCAAAAGAATCCGGTATTCAAGGGTTTGCACTACAAAAGAATCCCGTATCCAGAGGGTTAATTGCTGAATCTAGCTACAGTATATTGTGAATAACCACTGGAATGATTGATTGATTGAAACTTGCGCAAAATCTGTGCGGCCCTTATTTCCGAAATATAGGCCTAGGTTTTACATGGAGGATAGGCCAGGCTAGGCTGGCCAGGTACAGTAAAATAAAACATAATGCTTACTCGTCATTTGTGCGAGGCGGTTTTGCTACATAGCGAATACATTCTCTTTGGAATATGTTCTCTGGAATCCATTGTGAATTTTTCTGAGAGAATAAGAAAAGATGATTCAGAGTTAAAGAAAAAACTATTTGATCATTCATTGAACTCACTTAATAAGAAATAGATGTTCTGTAGATTAAATTATATTTGTCTTAAATAGAATCTTTCACAAGTGTGACCTCAACGGGGGTTTACGAACAAGAAGCAGGAACATATCTGTCAGCCACCCACTCAGGTGATATGCTATTTTCATAAATTGTTGATTTTCATATTAGCCTTGCTTATCCCACTTCACTGAAATACTGTAATTTCTAAAAGCCAGGAAGAATAAAAAGAATATGTTGTACAACTGATTTTCCTTGGATTCAAAAAGAGTGTTTTATGAAAAAGGGAATGGTTAATGGGATACAGATTTTTGAATATCTAAAAACTGGTGGAAAAAGATGAAAAAAAAGGTGGTTACACTCTCCCACCCCCCAAATTTTAAATATTCAACAATCTCATTAACCGTTTCCAAGGTTTTTGTCAAACACCCATTTAGTGTCTAGGAAAAATGAGTTGTACAATATCCATGTAGTTACTCCATTTTTGGAGTGTCTACACTCGCCGCCAAAACTCCAATTTTTTACGTTTTGCATACTAATACTATACGCGAAAACTCAAAATTCGGAGTTTTCAAACTTTTAATCAAACCTCTAATACAAGCTCTCTACTATAAGAGAGAGCAAAACATTTAATCTACCCTCCTATTTTTGATGTTCTGCGTACTATACTCGAAATTCAAAACGCTGTATAGCGTTTTTGGAGAGTACGCAGAAACTCCGAAATCGGAGGTTTGTTTGAAAGTTTAAAAACTCTGATTTTAGAATTTTCGCATATACTAAGTAGAAACTCCAAAATCGGAGGTTCGGATTGAAAGTTTAAAAACTATGATTTTGAAGTTTCCATGTATAGTACGCTGAAATCGGATGTTTGATCGAAAGTTTGAAAACTCCGATTTTGGAATTTGCACGTATAGTATGCAGAAACTCAGAAATCGGAGGTTTGATTAAAAGTTTCGCGTAAAATATGCAAAACCTCCAAAATAGGATGTTTGATTATAAGTTTGAAAACTCTGATTTTGGAGTTTTTTTTTTTTCTCCGGAGCCTGCATTTAAGTGCCATTCTATACACTACAGTATTGCATTAGCCTAGCAGATTCATCAAAAATATCAATTTTTAAAAACCAATACCAAGGTTTTAAGAACATCTGTAGCGGAATACATAGACCTATAATACAGTAGTGCCATCTTTTTTAAAATGAGATGAGGTTTTGCAGAATGGAAACAGTGGACATATTTTATAAATATGTTTAAATGTGAAACGAAAGTTAAAAAATAGAATACCTTTAAAAATAACTTAAAGTATCAACCTCTGCCTGGGATGATATAATAATTTTTTTTTTTTGGCTTTAAAACAGGATTAAATACAACTGCGGCACCGTGGAATAGGCCTATGCAGACTAGGAATATAGGAAAAAATGGTCCCGTTAAAAATGACCCAGGAAAAAATGGCCCTGGTAAAAATTGCCCCAAATGACAGTAGGTAAAAATGGCCCCAATGAAAAAATTCAGTAATAGAAATGATATTTTTTTTTAAATCTTCAAATATTTAAATACTGTAATAGAAAGAATTGAATCAATAAATAAAAAATGGCCCCCAATTATAAAATTCATTAAACAAATAAATTTTAAATGCTGTAAGATACCCTGTAAATTTATAAAATAATTTTTATTTTTTCCTTTGAAAATAAGATCAATTTATGTGATTTATTTTTTTTATTAATTTCTATAAAAGTATTTGTTAAGAAATACAGTTACACAACAGATGCAAATAATGCACTGAGAGACTATATGAAAACAATGGCCATTGAATAACATTTTCTGATTAGTAGAAATAAAAGTTTTCAAAACTATTCCACTAACAAAGTAGAGGAATGTAACTCATAGATAACCACAAAAATCAATTTTTGTTAAGTATCAAATGAAATAACTTTACATGTTATAAACAATGCAAATAAAC